GCCTGTAGCATTGCGTGGGGTTGTTGTGACTCAAGTACATGACCTGGCACTTGGCCTTATTACAACTGGCCTCATACAACTGATGTTGGCCCATGGATCCAGCCTGTCCAGATCCCTCTGCAGAGCCTTCCTACCCTCGAGCAGATCAACACTCCCATCCAACTTGGTGTTGTCTGCAAACTTACTGAGGGAGCACTCGATCCCTCATTAAGGATATTATCATCATTAAGGGTATTAAACAAGACCGGCCCCAGAACCGAGCCCTGGGGAACACCGCTTGTGACCAGCTGCCAACTTCATTTAACTCCATTCACCTTGACTCTCTGGGCTCAGACGTCCAGCCAGTTCTTTACCCAGCAAAGAGTGAACCTGTCTAAGCCACGAGCCGCCAGCTCTCCAGGAGAATGCTGTGGGAGATGTTGTCAAAGGCTTTACTAAAGTCCAGGCAGACAACATCCACAGCCTTTCCCTCATCTGCTAGACGTGTCACCTGGTCATAGAAGGAGGTCAAGCAGGACCTGCCTTTTATGAACCCGTGCTGGCTGTGCCTGATCCCTTGGTTGTCCCGCACATGCCCTGTGAGCACCCTCAAGATGAAAAATATATATATCTCACTTTGGACAGCTTCTAGTTAAATAATCTGTACCGATGCAACAATAAACCATGTTTTATTAGCTCAATCCCTTATCTACAGTAAGTGTTCTCTACTAAATAGATTTGAGCAAAGTTAAGAGTGGTTATACTACAACTGACATTGAAAACAACCACATCCCAGCCATTGTCTGATCTAATCTGGAAGCAGAATGCTTAAATTTTTGCCCAGAAATTTAAAGATAAATACAGAATACAAGTGTTTATGGAAGCAAATGGGTGCAGAAACTCCAGAAGATGTCTTACAAGTACAGACCAAGGATTATTTCAGGGACTGTCCAACAGAATGGACAGTCACTGCCCTGAGACTTACAGTTTACTAGAGAGGTACAAAGGAATAAACCATGAAGATCAGTGGTATGTTAATTCGTTACTCACCTCTGCAGCAAAGGCATGCCAACTGTTTTTGCACACTTCAGTTCTATAATTGTTGTTACTTTCTTGTTTTTCCTGCA